GTCTCTCTCTCCTTCTCTCTCTCTCTCTCTCTCTCTCTCTCTCTTTCTCTCTTTCCTTTCTCTCGCCACACCCCTGCCGTCACACACCGACGACGAAGACGACACGTCGGCGAGCGGGCACGTCGCGTCGTCGGGGCTAACGTGCACGTGCACGTCGTTAACGCGCACACGCGTCGGCCAGCATCGATCGCGCCACTGGGAAATCCGCGCGCGGAATCCGGGAGGCACGCACTGCGGCGCCCGCGGGGATTCGCCCGACCGCAACCGCACGGTCAGAACGCCATCCTTCCCAGATCGACCGCGAACTTCCTTCTCCACGATGCAACTCCTTTTGTTATCCCTGAACACGGAAACCCTCCGGACTCCTCGGTGGTACCAAAAGTGCGACGCTTCCTAATCGTGTGTGTATAGAATTCGGGATTTATAAATAAATTTTAAAAATAAGAAAAAAAATAAAGATGAGCTTGGTCCACTTTATGGTCCAGTAATTTTCGGGGTGAGATTGTCTTTGTCATTTAATTGTTTTTGCGCGAGGTTCGCGCTTGCAGCCGATGCGGCACTGCTCCCGAAGGATGACCCGGACAAATGCGTCAACGTCGTTCACGTGCTATTCCGTGAAAACGCATGCGCTCATCGACGGCAACAAGTTGGCGTCAGCACCGACCGTACCCCGGAACGAAACGACTGCGCTCCGGAGGAACCGTGGAGAAGCGTGCGATGGCGTGACGACTATATAAACGGCATCGATAGGCCAAGGACAAGTCGGCGACGCGCCAAAGGGGTGGTTTTCTCCATTTATGACCATTTAAACGCAGGATGTCCGGCGCCGTTCAACAAACATCACTACTCTCGCGAGCCCCATCGTTTTGCGTTGAAAAATAAGATTTTTAATGAATAGACAGATTAAGTAGAAATCCCTAGGTCTTAAATTTTAGTCTTAGATTTTTTAAATTACAGAATCTCGAGGTTATTAATAGAAACACGATAGCCTTCAAACTATAGGTCAATTGAAACTGCGATTTCACCAACGGAAAGTTATTCGCCAAGGATATATTACATCTACTTTTACTTATAATGGAAAAATTATAAAAAAATTATAAAATATTCTAGATCGCATTTAAAAATAATACAAAAATTTTTCGGCGATTTAGAATTTGGATCAAAAATTATTATTATTTGAATATGTGAAAATTAGAAATGTCTTTTAATAGAAATGTAATTAAAAAATAGATAAAAATAAATAAAAATTTCAATTTTTTTGTATATAATTTTATATATAATATTTTTTTATATAAGTACTTTAAGTATTCAAGATAATTTATGTAAAGTCTCATTGCGATGATAGAAATTAGTTGTTCTATAAATAAACTTCTATTAAAGATACAAACAAATGACAGTACAAATAAAATTAAATTTTTATTTACAAAACAATTATTAGTTATCATTTTTTATCACACATCCTTTAAAATACATTTCTACTTATTTATTTAAATAATTTATGATTCAGATTCTAAATCGCCGCTAAATTTTTTTTATATTATTTTTAAATGATTTAAAATAATCTGTAAGTTTTCCAATTTTTTCATCGTAAATATAAAAATTTTTTCATCGTAAATATAAAAATTATAAAAATAGGTGTAACACATCGTTAAAGTAGATTTCGTTTTAATAGCAATTTAATTAAAAAATTATCTATACTGAGAAAAACGTCTAGTTTAATTCTGGTTAAAAATGGACAAATCATAATTTTCTGCTTAAATCTACTAAATTTCTGCTTAAAACTATTAAAATTTTAGTTGAGATAACCGGAATTCTGACTGATATAACCGGAATTCTGATCAGAATTTTCTAGTTTGTCTATTTTCAACCAGACATTTTTTTCTCAGTATATCCGTATCTAGAGTGTGTATTAATTATAAAGTAAGTAATTAATTAACGAATTAATTTACTCGACTCACCATCGGACTCTGGCGAACCGGTCTCCTGAAGCTCGATGTGCTCCTGCGTTCTCCGCCTGCTGCTGCTTCGTGTGACGGAGTCCAAACGCAGACGGAGGACGTTGTCGACATTGTCGATGTCCCTGAGATTGATGGGACTGCCGACGATGAAGGGTCCGGTGGTTTCCTGTTGTGTGCCATCGTTCGCACGGTTGGTTGCGGGTGACGCGTTGCCGCGAGCGTTGCTGTCGTTGTTGTCGCTGCTGTTGTGCAGGGGTGTGCCGTCCATATGGGGTATGGAAGATAGATCCGGCGGGATGAACGGTCGCAACGGGCCAGGACTGGGAACCCGGGGGTTCCCCCTGGCAGTTGGTTGCATTGACTGTGCCGGCGCCTGCAAGAGGACAACGATGCGATCGATTTATTTCATGGTCTTTCACCTCGATGCAGGAATGCGTTAGACGTAAACGAGAACTCGATGCAGCATCGATTTTGGTGAGATCAGCATTTTGGTGAGATCAGCATCGATTTGGTGGAGAAACAACAACGAAGGAAGAAACATTTATGTTACGAATTCAAAGACTTATCCTTGCATTCTACGTAATTATTTTAATGGCTCAACAAAATTATTCTCAGATCTTTATCTGGTCAAATTTTTAGGTATTTCAGCAAAACCATTTTTTTTATATTGGGACTTAGTTTCTTAATTAGCTTCTTCGGTTATTCGGTTATTCATCGCTATTTATATATCTACTTATCAATGTGTATCTCTCCTTGTTATTTTTTTCAGGATATCTAAAAAAATTACGCAATTTAGATCGTAATTTGATTGGAAGCGCAAGAATGGTAATTCTTCGCAGTAATACGCAGATCGTTGTGCGTAAATCACAAGCATACACCGAGAACAATGACATCTAAAATATTCGACGACTCTGAAAGAAATCGTACACGTCAATCTCACGTGATTCTTACACGTCACGGTTCATTCACCGCAATTGTTTCGTATATGTCACGTACGATGTCATAGTTCCCTTTCCAGAAAAAGACTCCGCCCCGACAAGGTAAAACTGATTGAGCCTTGGTGATTCGTTTTATTCGTTTCCCTGAATTAGTCGGAATTGGCGAGACTCGAAACGAAATTGTTGAGTCACGCAACCGGACAAAAGTCTAAGTATCCTGTAGAAAATTGTCAGAGTTCTTCATATCAAAAGGACTTCGACAATTGCGATTTCTATAGGATACTTCCAAGCGAATGATAGCTCTTTTCGTGGAAATCTTTCCTAATTTTGGCTTATAAAAACCTTCGAATTGTTCATTCACATTTATAACAGGCCTCTTCATTATCGAAATAAAATTAAAATAATATCTCTTGAAAAATCGCGGATCATGAAATAAGAACGCCAGATCCGAGTTAACATTATCGTTTTTCCTCTTGCCATCTGTCTTTATTTAATAATTTTATTTAACGCAGAGACAGATTGCAGATATTAGTAGGTTTGCCGTAGAATTACACTTGACAACACAAATGACATGACGTTGTCCATGACTCATACCGATGATAAACTTGATGATAATACATCGCGCGACTATTGGCGACCGCATTGATCCAGATATGGAGAACTTATGAGGGTATACAAATATATGCATATTTAACTTAACTGCAAATGTAAACGAGATCGCTCTAGCGGAACGCAATGCACACGAGGCTTTATCATTAACGCCGACTAACGAGCACTTGATTAAAATGACCCCGCACGTTTCATGAATCGAATAAGAAAAATGGCGCGTTCTCTCCCAAGAACGTTTGTTTTTCGATGAGGCAAGAGTCGAGTTGGATTCAGACCAAGTGAGCACGAACGAACGTAGTACTATTTGTATTCATTACAGCAAATTTATTTGTATTTGTTCGTGTTTGTTTCAGCCAGATGCGAATTTTAAGATTGATTGCGTTCGTATTTCCGCAGTCGCGTACATGTTTCTTTTTCGTGATACTAAAATCTTCGGATATGGAAAAAAATTGGTGAAGAAAGAAAAGAACTTGTTTTGCTAAAATATCTAAATATTTGACAAGATACAGATTTGAAAATAATTTGGTTGGATCATGAAAATAATTATGTAGAGTAGTTAAATGTGATGATAATATTGCAAAAATATCTGATATTTTAATAATCAATTCAAAAATTATATATAATTATTTTAATAGCATAATAAAATTATTTTCTGATTAAATTTTTAGATGATTTCAGCAAAACTTCTTTCTGTGTATGTAAGTTTTTCAACAAAAATACATCTCGTGCACAATCTTATGCGTCGCAAGAATGATACCGGAAACACATACACATTGCGTATGCCATACTTGTGCATCTCTTCCGCTGACGCATTAAATACGCAACATTGTATTAAATATTAAACAAATGCACGTCAAAATACACAGAAAGAATAATTTTGCTGAAATATCTAAAACTTTAGTCAGATTCAAATGAGAATAATTTTGTTAGACGTTCCAAATAATGATGTAAGGTGTTAGTTATCAAAACATTTTTACAATGTTATTTTCTTATACAATATTTTTGATGGCCTAAGAAAGTTATTTTCAAGTCTGTATTTGATCAATCTTTAAGTACCTCAGCAAAACCGTTCTTTCCGTATAAGCAAACGTAAAGAATAAAAGGTGTACAAACAATCCACTCATTTTGCAAAATCCTGACAATTCATTTTCACGGATAAACGCGAAACATACACAGGAAAAAATCTTATCTTAATCTTATCTTAAATTAATCTTAAATCAATATTATGCATTCTCATATATAAGCAAGAATATTATAAGAAAAATCTTCTTAGAAAAATGTTAGCTTGATTGTATTTGTATTGATGCAAATAGATATTCTCATATGTAAACAAGAATATTATAATCTAATAATATAATCTTCAGATAAAAGATTTTTAATCTTGAGTTGAAGAAAAATAATAGCTATACATTAATACAAATTCAATCAAATCGAGAGTAAAATTTTTAAGATTATAATATTCTTGCTTATATGTGAGAATATTTACCTTTATTTAAAACAAAAGCTAAATTTCGTTCTGAGAACCGAGATAACTCGAGCGTTATTCAAACAAGATAATGGAGTGTCGTAAGCAAATATACACACTGTGAATGAAATGTTCAGGCAAATTTCGAAGGATGTTACCCTTCGGTAAATTTCGAGTTTGTTTCAAGCGTTCTCAAGTATTCACGTTTTCGAATGCAAGGTCGCGTGTATATAATGCCTTCTTATCGCCCGGTTTACGTAAATTCGCGACATGTATTCTTAGCAGAAGCGCGATATGAGCGCTTTATTAGTTGCCGGCAGATACGGTGAAACGTTCGCTATTACGTGATAGATTGTTGATTATAGATTGTTATCGTTAGAATCGCGCGAGATAACGCCGCTTTTAACGACACCCTAGTGTCAAGATACTCACTACTGTTAAACGTGTCGTCCGAGGCTTATTTCTGAGTCTCGTTTTGAAATCACAATCGGTTTCACGTGTCGGCCCGTCGTACTTATTATTGCTTCATCTTATCGTCGATCCACGACTGACTTGGCCAGTAATTCATCGCCAGGGAGATTTGCCAGAGCAACTAAAGCTAAGCAAGTTAAACGCGCGACAACTGTCTGTCCGACAGTTTGGCTTATTAGAATATCTCGCACCTTGATGGCAACACGGGTGCGTGTACACGAGTGTATGTTTAAATCGATCACTATTTGACTTTCTTGGATATCGTGTCTTGACTGATGATAAGGAAAAGATAGATTTCTACTGACCCGCGATAAGTTTAACTTTATTTTCCTTCTCAGAAGCTCGTAGATATGGAAGACTCTTGTGAGACGAACGTACGCGCAGCGAGGACGATTATCGTCCAGTAGTAAGAACACGAAAGTGGTCAGACCAAGCTTTACTTTTATTTAAAAGATTACTAAATTCTGACGAAGGGCATCTTTATTTTTTCGAAAAGGCATGTAAAAAAAAATCTCTTCATAAACTTTGTAAAAATTGGTATTTAAGGCACTTTCTTCACGTAATGAAATTTTACTTTCAGAAGAATGATTTAAGGAAGAAGAATACGCTCTCTTTGGCTTCTCTTTGGAGTGCAACTTGGAAAGAAGTCAATTATAATCTATTACAGTCCATTGAAGTTTATTAAACTCTATTAAGAATTGCAGTATGTGATTGCGTAATAAAAAATCTTGCTCACGGAGGGAGCAGCTGAGAGATGTGTTTCTATCGCAATTAGAAAAAAAGGCACATTTATTTATCACATACACACACGCGCGCGCGCGCACACACACACACGAATAAAAAATGAATGACCGCTGGCGTGCACTGCTCGACACTACGGATAAAACTGCACTCGCGAACCGTGTCGCATTCGATGCTTTCTGCGAATTTTTGCCGATCGTGGGCGTCGAAAGGGAGTCACGATTATTTATGATAACGACACTGCGGACGTTCGGATGTTCTGATCATCGAAATGACATCGGGGACGTCGAGCGGGAGCGAGTTTTTTCCCTGTGGAACGTCCAGAAGTCACTGTAGAAATCCAACGTGATAGTGGCGAGGCACGGCCAATAGGCGCGAGCGAAACGATCGATAACGCAAGACACGAAGTTTCGACCTGATAAGATCGAGATTTCTATGGCACTCGCCTGGCTCTGTCCGTTTGTACGGTTTTACCGAGACTGTCGTAAATTCCCGCGGCCGTCTTCGATAAGGCAAGCCTTCGATTGGGAAGGCCATCCCTCGCGGTGATCGTATCTTGTCGCAACTGGGTGGAGTAGGATAGAAAAACTTGTTCCTCGTAATGTTTTGAGAAAAAGAATAAAATTTATTAGTTTGCGTCTCGTGTCGCAAAAAAAAAAAGACATGTCATCCTACAATATACAAAGAATTACTAAATCTTCTTTATTTCTGTTTGCATATTTGATTAAAAAAAGTTTGATTTTTTTATTATTGCTTAAAAAAATTTGCAATTTCAATATCTCATTTTCTATGTATATTATTGCATAATATAGTCTTTTTTTTTTTAAAGAAGGGATATATCGATGCTTCCATTTATTCGAGAAAGAAACACGAAATGTCTGGACGCGATGTCTGCACGTGATTAATAACGAATTCACCAAAGTAGATTGATTTCCAAAGTCAAGCCACGGGGGTTCTTAATTATTTCTATCACCGCGATTGAATACAACTTCGGTGACGCCTATTCGATAGAAGCATCGATCGTAACGTGAGTCCTGAATTTAATAAATTTGAAATTTCGTTATTCGTTGATATACGATTTCATTAATCTCTCGTGTCTTTTCTTCATAATTCTGTTTTCAATAAGTAAGCTCAAGATATCATTTCATAAATAAATCTTACAAGTCATTCCTTCCCGTATCACGTTTACAGTTTCAATTTATTGTCTCATTAAATCTCGAGTGACCACTCAAATCGCACGGCATTACAGAACAAAAATTAACGTCCGCGATGTATTCTCACGTTGCGCGTTAAAATGTAACAACGATAATAACAGCGCAGTGGGAAAATTAGTCGCACATGCTACTTCCCAAGGACCCGCGACAATTCCGCGACGACGAGACGCATCATCAATAACGCAAACACGATACGCGACGGCGAGGGAAAGCGCGATGATAGAGTGCAAAATGGTCGATAGTATCGACGATGCGATGCTCCTCCGCGACAAGGCCATCGTATTAGATCGCCAGAATCGTCAGCGGTAAAGAGACGCTGAATAATTGAATTTTATCGAGTTGATAATGAGAAGCGGCCCATGCGTCATTTCGCGTTGCATTATGAAAGAATGCCCTTTTCCGAGGAACGAGCGGGTCATTAGAACCATATCGTGCCGCCATCCCCTTCGAGAAGAGAGCGTCACGCTCCACAACGTCGCGGAATGCCATGGAAAATGTCGAAACGTTCCCCGGAGTGATGCGCGCACCCCCGTCCCCATTAACACGCAAAACAATGGCGGCATACGTAATTATCTCCGTGCTCGCTGCCGCGAGCTATCGAGCGAACGCGAGTGACCGCAAATTATCCCTCCTTGGCATTTCCGGCACGATAACACTAATAAACGTCGGAGTAATTAGCGTGACAAACGCGACGTGTAACTAATAATCCCGCAAGGCTCGTGCGCAATTTTTTATTACTCTTTCAGCGACGGTTTAATGAGTGACATTACTGTACGTTGCCGTTTGATCTCTTTGAGCACATGTCACGTGAATCATATCGTAACTTGAACGGTGTGATTACAAGATTACGAGAAATTTGAATATTCTAGAAGCGATATATATATTCTATCTTCTAGTTAGAATCAAATAAAATCTCTCTCTCAAATTAAAGTAGGATGATGATACGAAGGTGCGGCCGTCAACATCGTCGCGCACGAGTATTGATTCCGCGGGAAGGCGTGTGCACGTGCACGTGTTTGCAAATGATAATGACGCGAATCTATCGATAACCGGCACGTAATGCCACACCCTTCCTCGAAATGAGGCCGCACGACCTTTGCCATTATCATAAGGACTGGCAGGGCGAAATTAGTCCAGTGCGAGGAATCGCTACTTTAGGACGAGTATGATCGTTATTTGGATATTAATGATCCTTCCACGAATTTATAACCCTGATATATCTCGATATATCAAATAATTATCAAATAAAATTAATCATAAAGCGACGTGTACAGCGACGTATACAGCGAACTTTTTATTCCAAATAACAAATTAAATTCTTTTCATTTATTTGTCCTAAAACTGAAAAGTAAAAAAAAACGTATAATTTGTTTGCGATTGAAAAATTTAAAAGAAAGTTTTTCTTTTTTTACACGGAACAAACGGTTTTGCTGAAATATCTAAAAATTCGACCAGATTTAAAAAGAATTTTTTTGGACCATCAAAATAATTATGAATGCTTAAGCAATAATAATTGTATAAATATTGCAAAAATTTTAAATATTCTAGTAACCAATTGAAATGTTTTATATAATTATTTTTGGTGTTTCAGCAAAATTATTTTCGGATTGTATCAGGTCAAATTTCTAGATAATTTAATAAAACTATTCTTTTCATATGGAAGATTGCACGTATACATAGAAAGAACAGTTTTGCTGAAAAATCATTTTATTAGATCATCAAAATAATTATGTAGAGCATTCAAACTGAGCGCTAGAATATAAAAAAATTTTACAATAAATTACGTCCTATATAATAATTTTGATGATCCAACAAAATTACTTTTGAGATCAATATCTGACTAAATGTTTAGATCCTTAGACAGCAAAATTGTACATGCCTTTCAGATATAAATGATCCTAGGCGAGGGTGTAAAAGTCGAATTCTTCGGGGTGGGGAATGCAGATTTGTTGACGGGTTCGATATGCGGGTACAAACAGCAGCAGCAAACGAAACACTTGCAAAACTTCTGCCGGGTGATTATGTAAGCCATCACCTTCCGTCGTCGCACAACACGTCTTTACTATCCGAGCATTATTCCTGAGTCCGCGCGAACCTAAATCCAACGACTTCGAGGCTCGCGTGACACGAACTCGCGCGGCACGTCGTTCGTCACGGCCGCGAAATTTGTGCGTGCACGAATACCAGGCAGAGTTTTCAATATTCCACGTGGCAATCGCAGGGGGAAGGAAGGCTTTTATCAGACATTTGGGTCAAGTATCCGCGGCGCCGGCCGCACCCCGTAAAACCACACACAAAGTTCGCCGGCACAATCGTCTTCCTGTCCGCTCGCTCGGTTTTATCCTTTCGGCCATCTCTGCGGCCGATGCTAATGAAAAGCAATTGTTGGTATCGGGATACGCCCGGCCTGATGATTATCGCCTATGTTTATTCTCAAACAAAGCGGAAAACGATGTTCCGTAATCGTAAACGTAAATCGAAGAGCAAACAATATCGACGCGATTAAACGAGAAGATCAATAATAATTTAATGCGAGTCTAGTTTTTACGATTGACGCTATTCCATCAAAGCTAATCGGATCGTCATACGTATTTACTTATATTTACTTATATCTGGTTTACTAATTTACTTCGAAAATGTGCTCTCTCATACTTCTAAATCATCGTAGGTGTTTTTCTTTGTGGAATTGATTCTTCGATTCGCGTTCTTTCGCTTCTCAACGGCCAATATACTCGGCTGTCGTAAATGTATTTTAATCGCGCGTGAAGCTGGCATTTGCGAAACACTTTAAATTGCCAATTCAGACAAGTGGGGATTACTCGGGAGCAGGTCGGAACACGTGAGACAATGCCGAGCGACACGCTGCAGAAATAAGACCGGATTAAATTCTGTAAACATTGAATAGTTCATCCGCGTGGGAAATCGAATTTAGAGCACCGGGGCCACTTGTTACTCACGGCATATCGTGTGCGCTCCATCGAGGAAATAATTGAGGATATTAACTCCAAACTGCGTTAGCCAGGAAATGCTCAAGTGCAGTGTTCCTCTTCGAAATTTAACGTAATAGAGCTTCATAAACAGACACTGACGCACGCTCGTTAACAATGTCGCGACACGAAAAGAGCAATTTTGCTGAAATATCGAAAAATTTGGTCAAATAAACAGACCTAAAAATAATTTTGGGTCTAGCAAAACAATAATATAGGACGCTTAAACATGACAGTAATACTACAAAAATTTTTCTTATTCTAGTAACAAAAATTTAAACATCCTATATAAATATTTTGGTGACCCGACAAAATTATTTTCAAATCTGCATCTGAGAAAATTCTTATATTTCCGCAAAATTGTTCCTTTCGTGTATTTGCATCTCTTTATTTATATTGATTTCTATTTCTTTATTTTCTATTTCTATTTGACTTTACAAGAAAAGTTAATTTATTCACGCAGATACATTTTGTACTCTCTTTTGATCCATGTTTTTTATTTGAATTTGTCATGAGAAACAGAGAGAGCGAACATAGATAACTGTGACATCGGCGTGAATTCATGGAACATGTCATAATGGCTGTTCCCATTCTTCACGAAAATAAACCGAGAAAATTGGAACAGAGTGAAAAGGCCGGCCGATGTTTAGTTCTCATTCGCAAAGAGAGGAGGCTCCCACTCCTGTCGCACGATCTAGATAAAAATTCCCTAATGGGCTATAGGATAAAGGAGACGCTAATGAATTCAACAGCAGTCAGCTAATTGTCACGAGCGTGATACATATATGGGACATTTTAATTAGCGTCGAATGAAGTTCTGTTTCAGGGACAATGGATAAGATCAGATCCACAATCGAGATAACGTAATAATCATTCAGCGAAATCAAAATATAAAATATTAAAATATATAATCCTACACGTGAACAAATATATGTAGAAAAATTAATGTACCGAGATACTTGAAACGCGAAGAAGATAGATAAGAGTTAAAAGTTCGAAATACTTCGGGCTTTCAAGCGGGAAACGCGATACCAGATGGAAGCTTCCGGGAGCATTAAATTGAGCCTCCAATCTCACGTGACAGCAAGTTCTACAAATAGCAGGAAAAAGAAGAGTTTCTCGAGATAGCGGCGCTGCTAAGGAGTTAATCCCTGCACGTCTGGAACGGATTGAGCGGATTTATGACCGCGAAGGAATTTACGGTTACGCTTTGCAATTATCTCAAGACAGGGAATTATCGTCCGACTAATTTGCGTCTCACGCTTCATCAGTCCGGGATTGTCACGGCTCCGATTAAGTAGTGGCGATTCGCTTAGACTTTTCCGCGGGAATTAATTCCGCCCGCGAGGCGAGATGGCATACGACGGTGAGCCGCGCGTTCCGGATT